TTTCTTTCTTTCTTTCTTTCTTTCTTTCTTTCTTTCTTTCTTTCTTTCTTAGGTTACAAAAACGGTGAGTCTCAACGGCGCGGCTCAATGTTTGGGTTTGGGTGCCCGTTTCCTCTGCTTAAGGCATCTGAGTCCCTGGACCCATCAGGCGCAGCCTTGGGCTGGAAACGACGTGGATCCACACGAAAGAGTGCTCGTGGGTTGGAAAATATCACTGCTGGGCAGGAAGAAAACGAAACCTGTTCAGAGTTACCTTGTAGAGGCACCACAAACATTTAATTATATATTATATTTATATATCCATAGACCCACACACAAATATATATTGAATTATACATTATATTTATATATCCATATATATATGCACACATACACCACACATATACACCCAATTGAGCCCAAAATTTCTGTTGCTAAGTGAGATAGTTGTTAAGTGAGTTTTCTCGTGTTATGACTTTTCTTGCCCCTGTTGTTAAGCGAATCAATGCAACTGTTAAGTTAGGAACGTGGTTGTTAAGTGAATCTGGCTTCCCCATTGAATTTGCTTGTCAGAAGGTCGTAAAAAGAGGACTCCGTGACATCGCGACCGTCATAAATATGAACCAGTTAGTTGCCAAGTGTCACAATTTGGATCACATGAGCCTGGGGATAACTACAACGGTCGTAAGTGTGAAAAACAGTCATATAAGTCCCTTTTTTCGGTGCTATTGTAACTTCAAATGGTCACTAAATGGTTGTAAGTCGAGGACTATCTGCCTATCAATATATTACAATAAATTAAAAATAAATAAACTGGGGAATTTGGGGGGCACTGGGCATGTCGCTAACTCTACCGGCCTCTCATTTCTTTTTTTCTTTTTAAATAAAGTTTTATTAATTTTCTACTGTTACATTTAATTAGTGCTTAATAAACATGGTGTTGCCTGGATTGTTTGATCTGCTTAATGACGCAATTTATATTCCTAATCTTTACCCTGTTTTTTTTCCAGCCGTTGCTAAAATAAATCCCATGCTTGGGAGCATTCGTTCTGCATCTTTCTTTCTGTTTAACCTTGTTTGTTCCTCTCGTTTCTTTTCCGACAGACGGGAGGAGGAAAAACTGCGACGGATCGAGGAGGAGAAAGAGAAAGAACAGGCGGAAAAACTAAAGACTCTCGGCTTTGACGAGAACAAACTGACGCCCTGGCAAAGGCAGATCATTCTCAAAAAAGGAGACATGGCGAAGTATTAACCCTTCTCCGCGCTTTGGGGGATTCCCGTTTCGATCCCAGAGCCGGGAGGGGACCGCGGGAGACGCAGAGCGTCGTATCTCCTGGTGTGCGGATCTTCTGTGCTCGTCACCGGATCCACGCAGGATCTCTGCCTCTCGATCACTCGTTCTGTCAAATTTCCATTTGTCCGACCTCCGCGTCCTTTGGGGATCTGTCTGTCTCAGCGGCTCGTTTTGCGAAATGTCCATTCGTTCAACCCAAACCCGGATCCATGCGGGATCTCTCTCTCTCTCTCTCTCTCTTCATCCTTTGTTTATCTAAAATTTCTTTGTTCAAATGCCGCTCTTTGTCCATTCGATACAGGCGACTTTACTCGTCCAACTGCGAAGGGTGGGATTTAATTCTAAACCAACATCTGGTCTGCTCAACCCCATCTTAAGAGCAAATTCTGAAAAAGAGAAGAAGAAGAAATTGCAAACGGCCCAAATTTTCCACAGCTGGCACTACTGAGCACAGATTGGCCAATGTTGGAGAGGTCACTATAAGTAGTCCTGGACTTACAACCATTCATTTAGTGACCATTTGAAGTTACACTGAAAAAAGTGACTTAGGACCATTTTTCACACTTACATTGGTTACATGATCAAAATTCAGAGGCTTGGCAACTGGCATGTACTTATGATGGTTGCATTGTCCCAGAAGGGCACGTGACCCCATTTTGCAAACTTCTAACCAGCAAAGTCTCTGGGGAAACCAGATTCACTTAACAACTGGGTTACTAACTTAATGGCTGTGATTCACTGCGACGAATAAGGTCGTAAAATGGGGCAAAACTCGCTTAACAACATCTTGCTTAGCAATAGGAATTTTGAGCTCAATTGTGGTTGTAAGTCAAGGACTACCTTCTATGCAAAGCTGACTTCCTGGAAACATCAGCCATCAAAACCAAGATTTGTGTGCATGCAAAGCACCAGCTTAGCTACGATTCCACAGCCTGCCTGCATTTTTCACAATTCTTAATTGTTAAAATTCAGGCACCTTGGAGATCAAAAAACTCACAGGGGGGACCAGCAAATGTTTTAAAGTTGTTTTTATTATTATTATTATTATTAAGTGCATGAAGAGGAACTCCAAAACGCCTGATGTTAATATATATATACACACACACACACGTAAAATAACATATAAATAACCCCCTCCCCATCTTTTAAAGAATGAATTGGCCGCAAAGTGAACGCATAGAATCGTTGCAAACAGCGCAACCCCAGATGAGAAATACTTACTGCAAACTGACAAAATTGCAAAAAATAAAATAGGGCACTCGTAAAGAAAAGGAGAACTTGATAGTAGGGGAAATGAGATTTTATTGCCAAATTTCAATTCCATAGGAATCACGGATTTGGGGTGCATTCTGTAAAGTAGCTTGTTTGAGTGGGAAAATTTTTGCCCTGCGATGCGGCGTCTCACCCTGTTAAAGCTTACGAACATTTTAGCATTATAGAGATAAACAGGTATATCATTTTCCCCTGCAACTCTTTGGAAGATTAGCATCATGCCCCTTCTACAGATGGGTAGACTGAGGCCAGTCTTAAGACGAATCCTCTTCCATGTCTAAAATATTCCATGTGATTCACCATAAGAAAAAACTACCCTCCAGAAGATTAAACCTTTGTTTCAAAAGTGACATACAATGTCTACTACATCTGTTGCAGTGCCTGAACCCTTCAGAGCAAGCAGGTCTCGTCACAACCTCATCACAACAGCCCTGTGAGGTAGGCTTGTTAAGCTTTTCCTATGCGAGCCAGCAGGATGGTCGCAGATCAAGGACGATAGATTCACATTAGAATAGTTCTACGTGGAGAATTACTTACATCCTGGTGCTCAAAACAGAAATACCGTAATAAAATTCAAGTAATACCTCAAGTTGGCTAGCGTTATATCGGACTGATCTGTCTAGACCAGAGGTCGTCAACCGTTTGGACCTCAGGGACCACCAAATTCATAATTTTAAATCCCGGGGACCACTAATATGAATTTTGACCGGCGGTGGCTTGCTGACGTTGGTGAGCACCGGTTGGCGACTGCTGGTCTAAATGGCAATGTTGGCCCTATTTGTCAGACAAAACAAGATTGTTGGTTCTTCCAGTAAGGGTAGTGAGTTGCCCACCATTAGGCAAAATGTTTTGCGTGGCTCAGTCGATATCGGTAGTGCATCGCCCGCTGTCTGCTCGTATTTTCCCTTCACAAGGAGATCCACGTGGTATCTTTTGCACAGAAGACAAATGGACAAGTTGTGGACGAGGCTGAGGGTTCAAGTAACTGGGTACCGTCCATGGGAGTGAAGTCCTGAGCATTTCCAGCTGGAAGTCGTACATCAGCAATGCTACCCTCCTGAGTCTAGGACAACTCGCCACGACCAACTCGCCAGGGGAAAATCCCACGTAGGATAACTCAACACGACAAATATTACCTGCTACCGTTTCTTCGACCTCATTTCCATTTTGCCCATTAACACAAAAATGGAAATAATGTCGAATAGTGATGGGTAACGTTTATCGTGTTGACTTATCCTGTGTAGCATTTTTGCCCTGCAGCGAGTAGGCTGCACCGAGTTGTCCTGCGGTGAGATTTACCGTGGCAAGTTGGCTGCGGCAAGATGGTCTGCCGCTCGTACACCGACCCGACCCATGATGTATCTCCCCGTACAGGGGAGCCCCCGTCGCCGTCCACCTCATGGGTTGCCCCGCAGATGCTCCCCCTGCAGCTTCTCCTTCAGTTCCTGGGCGCAGCCGCCCAACTGCATGGCCTCCAGGGTGTCCAAAATGGCTGCCAACGAGGCGCCCCGCTGCTGACACCAGCGCTTCAACATCTCGTACTGCTGCTCGCGGAACTGAGAGTGCTCCAGTTCCACCAGCTCGATTTCGCCGTCCTGCAGCCCCAGGCCCCTCACAAACTCTTTCCACCGTCGTACGGGCACGGCGTTGATGACGGTGTACAGATTCCGGCCTTGTTGCAGGGAACGGGATGGCGGGGGCGCTTTGTCCATCAGCACGACTGTCTCGGGGGGGGAGGAGATGGGACTGCCTGGAAAACAGCAGGGAATCAGTGCCACTGGCTTATGGAGCTGGGGAGCCCAGTCTAACATCCCTAATTATAAGTCCCTCCAGAGGGGTTGGATTACAGATCCCATTGGGCTGGCAGAAGGATGATGGGCTCTGGAAACAAGCCACGAACACCATTTGATCGCTGCTAGCAAAGTCTGGACTGTTGTACTCTCAAGACCAACAGGCAGTGCGAAATAGGTAACCCTCAACTTACAAGCATTTATTTATTTATTTATTTTGTCATTTAATGACTTTGTAATCCCTTTCGGGGGGTGGAGTCAGGGCAACTGAATGGAGCCGAGTGTTTACTGGCCAGATGCTCTTCCTATTGCCAGAGCGGAGTTTTATTCAGCAGATATATTTTTCATTGTGTCCAGAGGGAATGAGAGCTCCACCTCTAGGACACCAGCACCATTCCTACAAGCATTTGTTTAATGACCATTCAAAATTGAAAAAAAACAACTTAGGGGAATTTTTCACACTTACGACCATTTTGATCCCCCAGGTGATCAAAATTCAGATGAATGGCCACCGACTCATATTTATAATGGTCGCAGTTTTCCCAGTGTGTGTGTGAGTGTGTCACACACTTCCCTTTTTGCGACCGTCTGACCAGCAAAGTCCAGGCGGCACGGGGTGGAGAGGGAAGACAGACACCCTTCGCACTTAATTTGCAGTGATTCACTTAGCGACAGTGGCAAGAAAGGTCGTAAAACGGGGCAATGTTCCTTTAGCGACTGACTTGCTCAGAATAAAGTCTAAAACACAGTAAAATCTAAAATAAAATAAAAGAAGTTTTGGGCTCAAGTTGGCGGTCGTAAGTCAAGGACTACCCATGGCGAATAAACATCAGAATGACCATCGAAATTTTTTTACCGAATTGCGGATTGCTAATGCAGATATTTGGTGCAGGGATCAGCTTCGGGACAGAAGTAATTTTCCTCTTCTTAAAACAGAGGATCAGGGCGCCTGCCAGGATGAAAATGCATCCACAAACACCTACAGCTGAGACCGGAAGAAGAGTAAAATCAAGCAAAAATCAAGATTTTTCAGATTTTCCCAGGAGAGATGGGTCAGCCAATGTTTCCTCTATGAAATTAAAATAAAATAAAACCAATAGGCAATGAAATGAAAGTCTAAAGTAAAATCTAAAATAAAACTCTAAGGTAAGATTTTTAAAAATCCAAAGTAAAATAAAACGAAAATATAAAAAAATTAAATAGAAATCTAAAGTTAAAATAAAATAAAATCTGATGTGAAACATAAAAGAAAATCTAAAATAAGAAATGAACATCTGAAAGAAAACAAAAGTCTAAAATAAAATAAAAAGCTACAGTAAAATAAAGTAAATCTAAAATAAAATAAAAAACTGATGTGAAACATAAAATAAAATAAGAATCTAAAGTAGAATAAAAATCTAAAATAACAAGTATCTAAAATAAAATAGAAATCTAAAATAAAGTAAAAAAAATCTAAGCTAAAATCAAATAAAGGTCTAAACTAAAAGGAAGTAAAGATCTGAACCAGAATAAAATGGAAACCTAAACTAAACTAAAAATGTGAAATAAAATGCAATTAAAAATCTACATTAACATTGGGGAGTGTTTTTCAGCCTGACAGTCTTACTGTCTTCTCTGGGATCTCCTGGTGGTCTCCCATCCCAGACAAATTTACTTGGGCTTCCCCCACAAGCCCTGAATCTCAGCTCCCTTCCTAACTCCCGCTCCGTCAACCGCGGCTTCGTCCTGCCAGCAATGGGGGGGGGCGAGAAAAGAAATAACCATCCAGACCACGTACCGATTTTACACACCATGTTGCACTCTTCAACTCTGGGGGTCCTGCCAGGAAAGGAAAGGTAGTTTAAAAAAGGTCATGTCACTACCTGGGGGAGATTTGGGGTGCTGGGATAGAATTGGGACAGCTGAGGGTGAATTGGGGGGCTAGGGGAGATTGGGGGGGCCTGTACATTTACCTGGGAGTGATGCTATGAGGAGCCACCGTGGTGGACAACCTTATCTCCTGTGGTCTTTCTCTAAATAAAAGAAATACATTATTAATAAATAAAATACATTATTTTGAGCTTGGGGCACCCTATTTCCTCCCCCACCCTACCCCAATCTGGTTGGGGGGGGGGCTTACGTCCCACATGGCTCGCAGGAGTAGTCAAATTCGCAAAAGCCGGAAAAGCAGGATCCGCACTTGGTGTCTTCGTCCGGGTGACCTTCAAAGAAAGCGTTCGGCCTGGTGACTCAAGGCAGGGATTCGTTCAGTGACCGTAGCAAGAAAGCTCGCAAAACGGGGGCGACGCTCGCTTAAGAACCGTCTTGCCAATGAAGCAAACCTGCAGCGATTTGTTTAACGGCGGCGGCCAGAAAGTTCGTAATAGGGGGCGAAGCTGACTTAACGACGGTCCCGCTTAGCCGTGGGAAAATTGGGTGCTTAATTGTGGTCTTCCATCGAGGGCTGCCTATACCTCTAATCTTTGAATTGAATACGGTTACTAAATGCATCCACCTGGCTGACAATCTTAACTGGGGTTTATTTTTGGGGTAGGGCTTCTATTACGAGCATCCAGAAAAAATCTTGCTAGGGTTTATTTTCCAGTTAGGTCTTATTTTCAGGGAAATACGGTACTAAATGTGTCCGCCTGACAATCTTTACTAGGGCTTATTTTTGGGAGAGGGTTAATATCATGAGCATCCTGGGGGAAAAAAAATCATGCTAGGACTTATTTTCTGGTTGGATCTTATTTTCGGGGAAACGGGGTCCATACCTAAAATTAACGCCATCCGGATTTACTTACAGGCCTGCAGGGTCTCCCTGTGCTGAGAGCTGCAATTGGTGCATTTTTGGCAGCTTAATATATGGGGAACATCCAGGTTGTTGAAATATCCCCCCGCGCAACCACACTCGGTGTCCCGGTTGCCTCTGCACTCCCGCAACAAAATGGTGTTCTCTCCTGCAAAGCAAAGCATTTTCAATGGCCAAGAAGCATGGACGCCTCCCTAATAACTGTGGGGAGTGGGTGGCGCCGTTTTGGGAAGGGGAGGGGGCTTTGGAGACAGCTTCCCAGAATCCCCCTCTCCCCCCGCCTTGCATCGGGTCCAATTTGGACGCGCACACACACAACCGTGCAACGTTTTTGGGTTTTTTTTGGCGTCTCGGATGGGTGCAAACCGAACACTCTCTCCTGTCGGTCCCCCCGCCACAGTCCGCTCTCCGTGCTCACCTGTGCAGGACTTGCACTCAGAACAGATCTCCCTGTCATACTGGTACCTTCCCTTGGGACAGGAGACGGGTTTCACTGCGCCCGAGGAGGGTCCTTGAAGTGGGGCGGAAAGAGGATGAAGAGCGAGTGAGAAAGAGGCTTTTTCTTCTGGAAGGATTGCAAGACAAGTAAGGCCTAAAGGTTGTCCTGTCCATCTTTCTGGTCTTTCCTTCCTTCCTTCCTTCCTTCCTTCCTTTCTTCCTCCCTCCCTCCCTCCCATCCATCATCTATATTTATATCTATCAATCATCTATCTATCTATCATCTATCTATCTATTATCTCTATCTATCATCTTTCTATCCATCCATCTCTGTCTATCTTTTATCAAATCTATCATCTCCCTCCATCTATCTATCTGTCTATCATCTATCTATCTATCTATCTATCTATCTATCTATCTATCTATCATCTATCTATCTATCATCTATCTAATCTATCATCTATATTTTTATCCCACCTGCATTTTTACAAATGACTCAAGGTAGCAAACCTATCCAACATACATTCCTCCTCCTATTTTCTCCATAACAACAACCTTGTAAGGTTGCGTTGGGTTGAGCTGAGAGAGAGAGAGGGACTGGCCCAAAGTCACCCCGCCGGTTTTCATAGCCAAGGAAGAACTAGAACTCACAGTCACCAACACTTACCCGAGATTCATTTTCATGGACTCTTGTTCAAACAGAACTCGGAGATCATCTAGCCCAACCCTGTTTTGTTTAATGAGGGAGGGGAGAAAATCACATGACTTACCAGGGTCGCTCTGATTTTCCAATCCTATGGATCTTGAGCTTTTTTTCCTCCTAAAGGCTGATCCTTCCACTTCTCGGAATATCTTGCTGGCATCCTTCACGCCATCCAGGACTTGCGATCCAGCAGATAAGAGCAACAAACCCACCAGAAAGATCTAAAAGGAAAGGAGAGGAGATGAGGAGCCCTGCCTTGGGTTCGGGGTTGGACTAGATGACCTTTAGGGTTCCCTCGAACCCTCACAATTCCACTAGATGGGAAAAGTAAAGAGGCAGGAAGTAATATTTTTGGCCCAAAAGGTGATGGTTGGAGATCATCTAGACCAGCTGTCTCAATCGTAGCAACTCTTTAAGATGAGCGGACTTCATCTCCCAGAATTCCCCACTCGGCTGACTGAGGAATTCTGGGAGTTGAAGTCCACCCATCTTTAGAGTTGCCAAAGTTGATAAATACAAGATAATCCTTGACTTACGACCACAATGGCGGCGCCCCAGATTTCCGTTGCAAAGCGACGTTTTTGCAAAGTTGAGTTCTGCGCCCCATTTTACGACTTTCCTGGCCACAATCATGACGCCAAGCATTGCAGCCATTGAGCGAACCTGGCTTTCCCGCTTGACTTTTCTTGTCACAAAAGGGGATCGTAGGACGGTGCGACCGGTCATAAATACGAGTCGGTTTGCCAACTGTCCAAATCTTTCATTTACAGGGGTGCTGCAATGGTCATATAGGATTTCCTTACGCGTAACGACCGACGCAATAAGAGATCATTATGTTTGGCAACGATCCCGTGACGAGCCACTTAAAGACCGGCAATAGCTTACAGTCGTAAGTCGAGGACCACCTGCCTTTCCCACAGACCCCACTTCAAACAAACCCAGTTTGTACCTCGCCGAGGATACTTGCCTCCTTATCCATAGGTCTCCAACCCAAAATTGCGCCCTTTCTAACTTCTTCTTCTTCCTTTCTAGATTCCTTTTAGCGAGACTTTCCTGGAGAAGAAAAACCCAAGACGCAACAAATAAGGATCCCATCATCCTCGTCCCAAATGCAAGTCGTCCTCTTGGGCTAGAAGACCTCCAAGGTCCCTTCCAACTCTGTTACTCTATTCTATTCTATTCTATTCTATTCTATTCTATTCTATTCTATTCTATTCTATTCTATTCTATTCTATTCTATTCTATTCTATTCTTCTCTTCTATTCTATTCTATTCTGTTCTTTTCTTCTGTTCTTCTATTCTGTTCTTCTATTCTATTCTATTCTATTCTATTCTATTCTATTCTTTTCTTTTCTTCTATTCTTCTATTCTGTTCTTCTATTCTATTATTCTATTCTATTCTATTCTATTCTATTCTATTCTATTCTATTCTATTCTATTCTATTCTATTCTTCTATTCCTATTCTATTCTAATTATTCTATTTTATTCTATCATTCTATTCTATACTATTCTTCTATTCCTATTCTAATTATTCTATTCTAATTATTCCATTCCATTCCATTCTTCTACTTTCTTCTATTTTATTCTATTCCCAAGGAAAATTTGGAGTGATTTCAGTAAAGCGGACATTTTTTACCTGGAGCTATTCAGGGGAAAAAAAAAAGCTATTAACGGACGGTATTTTTAAATTTTTCCCCTCTTCCCTCTGCCTCGTCCTTCCGTTAGTGCTATCTATGCCTTTGGAAACGCAACCCCTATTTTCAAGAGAGGGTCGTTTTTAGAAGACCCCTTTTTTCCTCCCCTTTTCTGCCCCGTCCATCACTCCGAGTAACAGTTTCTAGAGGCATTCGACCTGCTTTTAGCGTCAAAGCTCACATCTTTATTTCCAAAATAGATTACCCCGTAGAACAGCGTGGGCCCTGCCCGGGGAGATCCTTATCAGGGTGTACAGTCAGCTCCGGATTAAATTTACTTCCTTTCCCGAAATATGATCTCGTCTCCGTTTTAACCCTTTACCGCTCAGAGAGGAGGAGGGGCAGTTTTGGCACGCGGCTCTTATCTCTTGGGCATGGATGGAACCCACAATCTTTGTGGACTTAAAATGACCTTCACCGGTTTGGGCAATCCAGGCCTATCTCACTCTGCAAAGCAAACATTTGAAAGGGCAGGAAGTGCAAAAAGAAAGTTAAAAAAAAGACAAAACATGGCCAGGATTAACCTGGCAGGTTGTGAAATCTCCCCATCTGTTGCAAACCCCGCCCCCTATCTCCAAATTCAGCCTCTGATAAATAGGATGGTTGCAGCTCTTGGCTGCATTAATCCAGATGACCACCAGGGGGCCACCAGATGCCACTTTGGTGGCCCTCTGTGGAAGTGCAACTCCAGTCTTGCAACCTTTCCAGAGAAAGCTAGTCTCAAGGCCCCCTGGTGGCCCTCTGAGGCCTCTGCATTAACAACGGCACACATAACATACAACACGTACACAATTATTGTGCGTACAAGCACAACCTACCGCAGGAATAAAATACGCAAGCCTTTTGAATCCAGAGACTGCATTTAGCCGAGGTGGGACATAACCAAGAACCTCAAAATCAAGGTTAGATACGTGTCGCTAAACAACTTAACCTGGTTGTTGAAATTAAGCTGCATCTCAGATTGTCAAAAGACCTTGACTCTGGTGTGTGTGTGTGTGTGTGTGTGTGTGTGTGATCAAACATCTCCACCTTTCTGACGTTCAGTTATCCAACCATAGTGGTCTCCATCTGTGGTGTCTTGAGAGAAACAGGCTGATCCCTTCTTGTGGAGGGGTTAACTGGCTATCTTGCATGCTGCAGAGTGCTGGACTAGATGATCCTTGGGTGTCCCTTCCAGTTACACTGTTCTGATTCCCATTTCTCTGTCCTGCTCCCACTTTGCAAGATCTATCTGCTTCCTTTGCCAAAAAACCCCAAAAGTTTTCAGAAAAGACGTTGCCCTTTAAGCATCACTCCCTGTGCATTTATTAAAAGTACCAGAATTTTCCCACGGCGGAAAAGAAATTCCCAAACCAACCCTCCAGAAACGGATTTTTTAACATCTCTATTTCAATCTGAAAGCTGGTTTTGAGATTCTTTTTCAAAGAGATATTTGACAACATCAAAACAAATATTATTAAAGAATTTACAATTAAAAAAAACTTTTCCCAAGGTATTTAAGATTTTTAAAGGTTTTTTAAAGTTTTAAAACGTTTAAAAGCTTAAAAAGTTTTAAAACATTTTTAAAAAGTTTTTAAAGAGTTTTAATTTTCTTTAAAGATTCTAAAAAATGTTAAAGGGTTTTAAAACAGTTTTTAGAATTTTAAAAAAGATTTAATGATTCTTAAAAACTTTTAAAGAGTTTTTTTAAAAAGGTTTTCAAAGTTTTAAAAAAGTTTGTAAAGGTTCTTAAAAAGTTTTAAAGGGTTTTAAAGTTTCAAGTTTCATTAAAAGGGTTTTGAAAAAGGGTTTTAATTTTTTAAAAAAGTTTTTTTTTTAAAAAAAGCTTTTACCAAGATTTTTAAGAGCGGTTGGCTTTCAGATCTTTTTAGAAAGGAGACCCTCAATTAAATCGGGGCAGATGGGGAACAGGGAAGAAACCCAACCAACAGGGGAGCCCACCCCATCATCCTCAGGGCTCCTGTTAGAACGAGGCAGAAAACCAGAAGCCCCTGACAAGAATCAAAGCAAGAAGCGACAGAAAAAAAAATCTCACCTACCTTTTCGACTGAAGACAGCTGAGCCTCAGTTTCGTCAACCTGGTGCCTAGTTGAGAATCAACCCGGCGGTTTTTCTATCTGCATAAATGAAGTTTTGCGAAATCGGATGCCCGCCGGTGCTTACCACAACAGCTGCTGCACGGAGACAGCCCACCCCGCATCGGTCGCGTTAAAAAGAGACCACAACCCACCTCCAAACACACCACCACCAAAAGTCTCAGGAAATCAGGGCCCTCCCTTGCACCCCCCAAGCCGTGCCACCTAGATGTCTTCGAAGAAAAGTGAATACCAACCCGCGGAGGCAAATTTTCAAGTCCACAAGACAGGAAGGAAATGTAATTAAAAAAAGAAAAAAAAAAGAACGCACACACACAAAAAATGAAAAGCGCAACTTTTTTTCTTTTTCAAGCGAAGGGATCCGGCGGGAAACTTTTGAAAAAAGTTTGGGAAAGAGAAAAATAAATAAATTAAGGGGTGGGTGAGGTTGATAAAAATATCATTCCTTCATTTTGGGGGGGAAAGATCGAATTCGAGGCGAAAAATTCGGCTGTTTTTAGCGGTCGGAGGAAGATGATTAAAAAGGTTAAGAGGGAGATAAACGTGATGGAGGTTTTTTTTTTGTCTTGAGAATGTGATTTTGGTGAATTTTGCTGAAGAGCCAGTAATTTTTTTCTCCAAAAAAAAAAAACCCCACACCCCGCCTTTTATGCAAATACATTCACAGGCTGAGTTTGCAATGGAGGTGAAAGACGGATTGGAAATTATGAGCGCAGGAGGGAGCGACTGACGCAAAGGACCTGGGGGGGTTTCCCCCTCCTTCGTAGAAAAAAAGGCGATCACCCTAGATACCGTGGTTAAAAAGGGGCCTCGGATTGGCACCTATGGGTACGGGTGGTCCTCGGCTTACGACCAAAATGGGGAGCAGAATTTCCGCCCTTCTAAGCAAGGCGTTTGTTAAGCGAGCTGCGTCCGATTTTAAGACTTCTTTTTTTCCCCACGGTCATTAAGTGAAGCAGTTGTGAAGTGAAGTCCAGCTTCCCCATCCTGTCAGAAGGTCGTAACAAAGTGATCGTGTGACTCCGGGCACTGCGGCTGTCATAAATATGAGCAAGTTGCCAAATGTCTAAATTTGGATGTTTTGGTTGTGAAAAATGGTCCTAGGTCCCTTTTTTTCGGGGCCGTTTTAACTTCAGTCCCTAAATGAATGGTCGTTAAGTCGAGGACGGCCAGTCCCAAAGCAATTCGGGTGATGAATTCCACTAAAAAAACCCGGCAAAGCGAGCCCCATCTGCAAAATCTCAGACAATTATATTTCACATCCATATCCTGGTTTGTCGACCAAGTCGCCATGGGCTGGATTTCCCACCGTAACCCAGCAAGCAATGATGGTTTGCTGTCATGCCCAAACCCAGCCACAACCCCCCCCTCCACCCCTCCTCCACAATTGCACCCCAGGGCACGAAAAAAAATAATTCATAATATTTAATCAGCCTTTAATTGGGGGACCAGTTATGCCAAGCAACCACATTTGCAAAAAAAAAAGGGGGGGGGGCGGAGGGTTGTAAAATCAAGACCCCCCCCGCACAGCGTCTTGGGGGGGAGGGTAGCCACAAAAGCCACGGCATGCCATGGTAGAAAAAGAACTGGACCAGTTACACCCGCCCCGCCTTCTCCTGTCCGGCCACGAGAATACCAGCGTAATAAATAAGCCACGTTATAAGCCAACGCAAAACGCAACACGCCCTGAATTAAAAAGGGGCCTTTTGCGAGGAAAAACAAACAAACCGACATCCTTTTGGAGTTACGTCAAGTGGCCGATATATTTGGGGGTGAACTTTTGCACCATGCGAGTGGCGCCCCAATTTAGCTTTTCATCCATGGAAGAAGTCAATTGTCACCCCAAAACTTGGAAGGGCCACGGCGTCCCCGACAAAAAGGGGGGGGCAGAGGGGCAGTGGCACCCCCAAAGATAGCCTCAGTGTCACCGTAGTGTCATAACAACAGGTTGCTGTTCCATTTTTCCGTCTTCCGATACGCCCGGCTTACAAAACCCGGGCAGAAACGTCGCCCTTTCCGTAACCATCCGCTTTCCCGTTTCCTCGGATCATTTTTGTTATCTCTTCTTCACTCGTTCCCCTTCTCCGACCTTCTGGTTCTTTCTCCTTCCTTCCCCCCAAAAACTCCCCCCAGCCATGAACCCGTGCTCCCCGTCTCAGGATGCCGGTGCTGGACCGGATGATCTCTGGTGTTGTTCTTACAACACTTTCCTTGTTGCTGTGTGCACTTCCTCGGCGGGGGAAAACACTCCCAAGGAGGGTGGGAGGGAGAAGTCTTTTATTTTTCTCCTGCTGGATGGGAAGACCCCCGCACCGCAACGGGAGCAAGACAGTACCCATTACCCAGGCAGGATAATCGAGGCTGGAAACACCCCGATCCCTTCTTGGTTTGGTGCTCCAATGGAGTGCTGCGTACTGCAGCTTGAACGAGCAAATGTCAGGTTGTCTGGAAAGTGGATTTGAGAAGGGGCGACCATGCCGGGTGACGCCCACGTCCAAGGGGGAGATCCTGATCTGGGGTACCGAGGAAGCCACATTTAGGGGAGGAAGAGTCGAGTGAGGAAAACAACGGAGAAAACATTGCGCGGAGACCCTCTTGAATTATCCTTCTCCGTCCTTTGTGTCCAGAGAGGAGGATTGAACACGGAGGAATAAATAGTAAATAAAAGGTAAAACTTGGGGTTCAAATCCGAAGTTCCTGGGAAACTGTTGCTGGGGGGGGACCCCCCCTCCTGCCCCCCCCTTTCCCATTGTCTCTCATGTCCTCGGGCCAAGGGTGCACAGCAGCTGCAAACACGTCGATTGCACATACAGAGAAGCGGCACCCGTCTGGGATGCCGTGCCCTGTCTTTGCGCCCACCCCTTTGGGGCGGCTGGGTGGTCTCGATGCCCCGGTGGGGATGGGGGTGGGAACCGCAGAACCGGACCTTTGTCTCGCACTCGGTTCTCTTCTTCCGACACTTCTCATACCTCCCTGCCAGAGATGGGAGAAAATCACATGTTACAACCATTCGTTTGGGGACCGTTTGAAGTTACGACGGAACGGAAGAAAAGCGATTTGCGACCCTCATAAAACCCTTGCACCCGGGTCTCGGTGGTCACATGACCATGATTTCTGTGGTTAAGCACGACCGTTCTTAAGTGAGTTGGGCCCATTTCACAGCTTTTATTGCCACCGTTTACGGAATCCCTAAAATTGTTAAGGGGGTAACCCTGTTGTCGTCCGCCGGCAGCCTGCAGAGATGGCAGCGGAGTCGGACAGTGGGGAGAAACATGGGCCAGTCCAGGAGGGTGGGGAGGGCTCGAACGAGGGTCCTGCCTCCGACACAGAGATGGGGCCAGGGCCATCGTAGAGTCATGGGCCAACTCCGGAGCCTCCAGAATCTGGCAGTAGCGAGGCAGAGGAACAGCGGGAGCCTGTTCCCAGTGTGCGCTTGCGCAGAGCTGCCGGAAGGCAAGAACCGTTAAGACAAAAGGGGCAACTCGGGAGTAAGGCTTGGAGGTGACTGGCCCCTCCCATAAGACCTAAAGGAGGAGCAAAGGGACAGGAGCCTTTGCAGGAAGCAACTTTGTTCATACTGGTGGGTTTGAAATTTGAAGCTCGGTGTTGAATTTGTGTTCCATTTTGGCCTCGTATAACTAATTGCACATTTAGTCGTCGGCAGCATTTCAAGGAAGATAAAGGTGGGTGCTGATCAGACTTATCCCGAAGGACTTTGGCAGACTTTCACGGGACTATTTACAAACTGTTTGAGACTCATTACGGGCTGTGAATGACTAAAATTCACAGCCGTTGAAATAAAGGAAAAAGGGTTTTGGGACTGTGGGTTTCTTCCATAAGCCTCGGTCAGAACAAACCCAGTTGCTAAGTGAATCGGGCTTCGCCCATTGACTTTGTTGCACAGAAAGTCACAAAAGGGAATCATGTGACCGCCGGACACTGGGACTGTCATAAATACGAGCCAGTTGTCAAACGTTTGAATTTTTGATCACCACAATTCAGCATCAGCTCTCAGCCCGGTTCAAAGTCCCACCCGCCACCCGCACTCACGAGGCCGTAAGCGTGGAGTTGAGCAGCAACGTGGTGTGGAGGCGGTACAGCTGGCCCAGAGTCAACTTCCGGTGCTGAATGGTCGGCGGATCTGAAAATGCCTGCTGGTCCTCTGACAGCTCCTCGCTCGGAGGCTGCTCCTCGTCCTCCGGCCAACACGGCGACGGTGCTCCATTCGAGACGGCAGCCATCAACCCCGGAGAGCCGCAGGTCGTCTCCTCCGCTTCGGAGAGTTGGGAAGTGCTGCTGTTATCACTGCTGCCGCTAAAGGCCCTGCAGAGGGGCTGGCCTTGGGGCTCCTGCATGGGGGGAGCCCCGGACAGCAAGAGCGGAGGAGAAAGTTCAGACAAACTCTGACTCTGGATGAGCGACAGCGAGGGCGATAGCACCTGCGCGAGGTTGGCTTCGGATTTGGACTTCAGCACCTTGGTCTTGGCGGGCAGGAGCTGGACAGGGGTCTGACGACGCAGCTTTGGGGAGCCGGTCTTGGCGACATCCTCCTCCTCCTCCTCTTCGTCCTCCTCCTCGGCAGCTGCTGTCTCCCCCTGGGGCAGCGAGGGCTCCCCCAGTTCGTGTAGCGAGCCGAGTGAGAGGGTCCTGTAGGCGCTGTCGAACGATGAGCAACTGCAGGGGCTGGGTTCCGGTTTCGACAAGGCTCTGGGGGTGTCGGGGATCCGGTCTCCCCCCTCCAAGGAGGGCGTGGCGGAATTGGGGAGCGGGCAGAGGCTCAGTTCCTCCACTGGAGGGAGGAACTGGCTCCCGTTGGAGGAAGGCGGAAGGAATTCCTCGCTGGTCTCGGCCGTGATGATGGAGATGGTGTCGGTGGAGCCGTCAGAGAGGCTGCAAACCAAGATAGGAAGCTGGGTTAGGGTCAGTGTGCAAGTTGGGTGAGGGTTGCCTCCAGTGAGGTTTTTAAACCCCCCAAGCCCCCCAGCAGTGGTGGGATTCAAGTAATTTAACCACCGGTTCTCTGTCCTAATGATTTCTTCCAACAACCAGCTCACTAAACTGGTCAGAAAGTTAGCAACCGGGTCTGGTGAACCGGTGCGAACCGGCTGAATCCCACCACTGCGCCCTAGAGACCTACCACTGCTGGGAGTCCAAGCTGCTGGTGCTTTTCCGGAGGGTGGGAGGGGAACTGGCCCCCGAAGAGTCCCAGTTGCCTTCCTCCTCCTCCTCCTCCTCCCCTTCTACTTCCTCCTCCTCCTCTTCCTCTACCGCCTTGGCTTCCACGACTTGAGGAAGCCGCTGGTTGCGTTGGAGCTCCTGCAGGCGCAGCTGCTGCAGCTTATTCTGTGGGACGGGAGAACAGAGAAGCGTCACAAAGATAGACTCTCTTGGGACAGGGGAGATCCTTTGGTCCCAGAGCCCACGGGTGGATTGGCTCGAGAAAGGAGCAGAGGTCAAGAAACAAGAGGGTTGAAGGGTGGGATCTTGGAAGAGATTTTTTAAAATAAAATAAAAAAAAAATCAGGAAGAACACAACAACACAAAGGACATTAATTAAAAGGGGGTCTTTTAAAAATAGCCCAACATATAGACACAAAGGAAGAGAGGGAGGGAAGAAGAAAGGAAGGGAAATGGAAGGACGGAAGAAGAAAGCAAGGAAGGAAGGAAAGAAAGAGGGAAAGAAAGAAAAAGGGAAAGAAAAAAGAAGGAAGGAAAGAAAGAGAAAGAAAGAAAGAAAAAGAAAGAAAGGAAGAAAGGAAGAAAGGAAGGAAGGCAGGCTGTATTATGCTAATCGGTGTTCAGCTGGAGAGGTCTTTCTGTGCATCCAGGCTGGCTTTTCTGTTTCCTTCTGACACCCCTGGGGAAGAGCCTCCAGAGCCCAGCAGTGCCTACCTGAGCGTTACAGACAGCCTCAACCCAGCTCCGGCACAGCGACTGCCCACTGGTCTGGAAGGTGTAGGCACACACAGCGCTGCCAAACTCGTTCAGGTAGATCAGCAGGAAGGATCCTGGGGAAAGGGAGGGCGGGGGGGGGGGTAACACAGAAAGGGCAAAAAATCCCTTAAAACCCCCGAATTACGGGAAGCCCCCAATTTACAACAATTCACTCAGTGACCAAAACTGCAACGGCGCTGAAAACTCACACTGTCCTGGCTAAAGGACACCAGCGATCCGCTTAACACCTGTGGCAGCAAAGGTCGCAACTCATGGGGAAAGCTTGCTTAATAGCAGCCTCACTTAACGATGGATATTTGGGGGCACAATTGTGGTCGTAAGGCACAGACGACCTGAAGGTGGCACCTCCAAACCGACAAATTAAAAAATAAAAGTTTTTAAAAGTTGGGGGAATTTCGATGGGGAGCCTTATCGGTGGGTGTGTGTGTTTGGGTGTGTCACAGGTGTCGGTGCCTCACCTGGATCCCTGAGTGCCCGACACACCAGCTTGTCAATCAGGAGGGGCTGACGGACGACCCGAGTGCGTTCGGCCTTCTTGGCCGGCTTGGTGATGAGGAAGAGGTCGGTGAAGAGGAAGCAGTAGACGTCCATCTGGCCAGAGAGAGAGAGAGAGAGCGAACAGGGTGGGGGGAGGGGCTAGAAGCAGCAACCCCCCCCTTCTCCCGTCGGCCCCAAAGCGGAGTCAGCAAACTCCCCCGTGTCCCCCCCCCGCGCGTCTTTTTTGCGGCCCCACCTTGCTGTCTTTGCCTTCCCTCATCTTGAGGGGCCCCTCCAGCAGCAGCTGCCGCGTCTCCTCTCGGGACGTCCCGGGGATCGGGCCCGTCAGATCCAGGCGCTGAAACTCCTTCAGGATCTTGGGGGGGGGGGGCGCAGAAGAGGAAGCAAATTGGGAGGAGGGTCGCATTTGGCCCCGAACCCCCCCAAAAAGCACCGCTTGCGAACGAGAAGCGAAAACCAACCGAAACCGGGTTGGCTTGAGTCCAACCAGGGTTAGTTTCAAGCCGGATCTTGGCCTCTCGTCCCACTGAGATGGTTCCCTAGACAGGGAGTCCTTGACTTACGACCGATTCCAGTCTCGCCCGGGGCACGAAAGCCAAGTGGGCGACTTGGGGCCGATCGCCGGGAGACGGTGAGTTCTAGTCACTGCTAGGCAACCCGTCGTAAGTCAAGGACTATCTGTAAGAGCGTTGAGGCTGGTCGTTTTTTGTGCCCCGCCCCTCCCCCCCGGGCCCCTTCCTCACCTTGTCCACTTCGTCCGTGCTGCCCTCCACCACCTCATAGGCGTCGATGCGGTTGACGGTGGTGGCCAGGCGCTGCTGCTCCTGGTGGTGACGCATCCGCGAGTTGACGTGGTTGATGAACTGCTCCACCGCGTTGATCTGGGGAGAAAGAAGAGCTAAGCGTCCCTCGTTGTGTCCTCGGGAGTCTGGGCGGCAGGAAAACTGGCAGGGTCTCTCTAAGGTAGACTGCGACAGAGCGTGGAAGCTCTACTAAGCCTTCGGGATTGATCGGCAGGTAGCTGGAAGGGGGAAATTTCACGCCTAAGGAGGGACTAGAACTCCCAGCCGCCTGGTGATGGTCCCAAAGTCGCCCAGTTTCAACTCTCTCCGAAATATTCATTTCTGTCGCTTAATTCCGTTCGGGCTCTTCCACTTTTTCTTGTTCGGTGTCCAGAGTACAAAATTGCGCAAAAGAGGGGGGGGGTTTGCCCCTTGAAGGCAAAATGGATTGAGAGAGTTTTAAAAATAAATAAATAAAATCAGCCCACTCTCAAAATTGGTGGCCAGTGGCAGGAAGTTCCCTAGGTTAATTGGGGACGGTGAGAACATCCAGTCCAGCCCCCCCCCGTCCTTTCTTTAATTCCCACTGTCGGACCTTCTGTTTCGAACCGAGAAAAATGCGAGAAAGTCGGCTTATCGAAAGGACACGAAGGCTTTTTCGTCTTTTCTTATCGGTCCCCCGAGAAAGAGGTTAAAAAAAGAGCTTCGAGCGCAGATTATCTCCTCCCTTATCTTATTTATTTATCTTATTTCCGGCTAAGAGGAGAGATTCGGCGCTGTAGCCGGTGGGCGGACGGCAAACAATTCAGGCTTTTCCTCCTATTAAGCGGCCCAGCGCTTCTCGGCTGTGGAAAATCCAGATTTACAGATTTGGAAGGGACCCGCGAGATCATCCAGCCCAACCCTCCCATCTCCACCTGAGCAGGAAGCCCCCTCTAGGGCAAGTGGCTGTCGGGTCTCTCCTTGAAAACCTCCAGGGACGGGAGCAACCGTTCTGGAAGCAACCCGTTTCCTCTGATTCATTGGTCTGGGATGACAGAACCAGAGTTGGGAGGGGGGGACCCTGGGGGTCATCCAGCCCAACCCCCTCCGCCCCTTGCCGATGCAGGAAACCTCGACCTTGACCCGTTCTGATCCTTTCCTTCCTTGGGCTCGCTCGCCTTGCCCAAACGGGTGAATTTCGTCAAAGCCAGGGTTGCGTGTGCGCGCGCGAAAGGATCTGCCGACTCCCCCCCCCCCCAAAAAAACCTCTCTAACCAGCCTCCGGGAACCTGGTTTGTCCGCTTACCATGCCAACGATGGCCTCTCGCGCCTTGGGGTCCTCGGTCTTCTTCAGGACGGACTTCAGGAGTAGGGGGTACTTGGTCAGGCGCTGGTGCGGCTTCACCAACATGTCGCTCAGCTTCAGCCGGTTGCATTGCTTGTGTTTCTCAGCCCACTACGGAAGAAGGGGGGTGGGGGCTCTCGTCACCAAGGAGTGTGGGGGGGCCACCGAAGAGGAGACCCCGCCAGCTCGGCGTCCCAAAACGGGTGCAGAGTCCTCTGCTGTATTGGGCGTCGTAAGCCGAGGACTTTCTCTACCGGCCACGGGAGGTGGGGGGGACAACGGCGCCGGGACTCCTTACCGTCACGTACAGGCGAAAGAGTTCGTTTTGTCGCAGCAAATTCCGCATGTATTCCATGCAGGCTTCCTCTTCCATACAGTAACGGAGGTAAGGCTGGAAGTGGGAGCCGAACTGCAGAGAAGGGAGGGAGGGAGAGAGAGAGAGAGAGAGAGAGACCCCGAATTAAACATGGTTTAGGGAAGAGGTCGGAAACTGGGATTATCTAGGGTTGGCTGAGTGCCCAGTGGGCCTCTGGGCGGCTTCTGGTCTCTTCTCTGCTGTGGTATAAATGCTTCGGTGTGGGGTCCCTGGGTGGCTTTCTGAGCTGGGTGGTTTCCTTGCAGACGTCTCATGACCCAGCTAGGTTACATCATCAGCTCTAGAAGGGAGAGGGAGGTTTGCTCTCTGTTTATAGACCGACTCTTCTCTTCCCTCGGCCTGGCATCCACTTCCAAGCTCTACTCCAAAGGCAGAGGCCCTCTGAGCTTACGCTAAGGGCCTGCCCACCATCGACCCACCCAAGCAGCCCTCTTCCCCTCCCCTCCCCCTCACCGTCTTAAACCCCTCGGACAAATCGGTGGGGTCCAGCAACTTTTGGCTCGCCCGGGCCTTCTCCAAAATGGGGGCCATGACCGTCCTCCAGAGGGAGCGATGAACCCGGATTATTTCTTGAATGTTGCTGAAAAGACGTTCAGCTTCCACCTGAAAAAAGACAAGACTTCGATCCCCCCGTTTCCCCACTGAGTTTTTAATGGGGGTCTGGGGGTCTGGGGGGGTTGTGGGGTGGGGGTGCTTACCTCGCACAGGAGACCCGAATCCTGCAAATTTAAAAGACAGCACAGGAAGAGCTGCAGAGAGAAAGAAATAATAAATAAAGGCATTAATCCTTTAGAAGTGGTTTTTTTTCCCCCAACTCAGCAACGTTCAAGGCCGGTGGACTTCAACTCCCAGAATTCCCCAGCCAGCTTTGCTGGCTGGGGAATTCTGGGAGTTGGAAGTCCATGCAGCTTAAAGCAGCCGGCAGGGAGAAATCCCCGTGTGGTAAGATTCGCACCGGGCACCGGGAAAGTGAGGGAGGAAGAGCTCCAGACTTACATCCGTGATGACTTTGAGTTTCTTGATGTAAGACGCTTCGGTGTGTAGCAGCTCCCAAATGGCTTCCTGCTGGTGACACTGGCGTCGCGTCAAGGCCTGGAAACAAACCGCGGTTAGGTTTGGCCTTAGTCGTCTTGTAGGAAAAAGAAAGGAGGAAAGAAAAGAGAGAGACAGAGAAAGGAAGGAGGAAGGGAGGAAGGAAAGAAAGAAAAGAGAGAGAGAGGAAGGAAGGAGGAAGGA